CTAAAGTCATTCTTAAGACTTCCATAGGTAAGACATGCAGTAACATTCTTATGCCCACTTCATACCTTAACTAAGAAACCCTTAAACTACTCTAGGTAAGTATTTAGTCATTGAAATACTTTCTAGTTTAAGTCATTATCTTTATCAGTTCTCTAAGAGACATTCAATACATAACGACATTCAAGTAATGTTCTTGGAAAAGACCTAGGGACTTACTCACTAACATATTCAAAGCCTAATCGTGCAATGTGTAGATAGCATCCTGTACCACCAGCTAAACTTCTCCAATACTAGTAGGTATCCCACATGATCAGAATAGGTAATAACCGACATACACCATACTAGATATGCATGGAATCCAGAGTCAAGAACCTACTCTGTTGGAGGTTTGTTCTACGGTCCAATGGTAGAACTAGGACACATCCCATATAGGCTCATGGTTAAGGAATATGAATCGTTTCTTTGTAATCTAGCCTCAGTCTTAACTAGAGATACTTTCCAAACCATACGCACTCGGTGCTAGACTTTTTTCTCATATAGTGGTTCAATAAAGGAGTACGTGAAGAGGTTCGATATCTAATTCATAATCCAATCACATTACATCTTACAGAAGATGGTCCACTAAGGCTACCTACAATGGTCAAGAGGATAGCTCAATGACTTTCCTAAGGATGATTTCATGCAGTTCCAACCAATCAACACTAAGTCCAGCATTCACATAAAAAGGATGCCATTACGACTTTCAACTTCAAGGATATCATAACCTTCTAACTAGGTTGAAGGTTCCACATAAAGGTCCTTCTTAATAATATTCAAGGTCACATGTAAATCACACATACAAGACAAAAAAGCTTTAGCATACTAAGTCAGAACTCAAATTCACATTGTACATGTATCAACTAAGGGACACAAGTCTACCAAAATAAGACACACACATAATTCATCATATCACATATAACATATCATTCTAGAAGCACATAGGTATAACCAATATCATCTATAGGTCATCGTACTCACTACTATAGTATCATCAATATAAGTATAACAAGTATCACTTCATCTATCAAGAAACATCATACTTTAACATCAAGTAGTTCACATAATGACTACACTATAGTCTACTAGAGACATACATCATCAACAAGAAGAACTCATGCTTTGACTCTACATAAACACATAAGTCATCATGACATTAATAATACCCACATAATCAAGTTATAACATGATAAACCATAATACTTAAAGAAATGCCGACGAAACCACATCATTCACAATTCATAAAGTAATGCCGACAAGACCACATTAATCACAAGTATAGCACATAGGAATCACCAAAATAAGTTGTCACGACCCGAAAGTACCCCCTAGAAGTTAGGGAGAGCCCTCCTTTCGTGATCGGGCATACTTGACCCTTTGGGGTCTTGTACAAGCCCTTTACTATCGTACATCACATAAGACATGAAAAGTAGTGCGGATATTTAAAACATTTTACGAGTAATTAATAAAATAGAATCTTTCATAAATACTTAGAGAATCTCATCGTTACAAGCCAACTTAAAGACACGGCATAATATCTTTGGGACATGTCCCCCTACAATAAAGAAAAATACATAACAATGTCTTTAAATAAAAATTAAGAAAAAGACTATGCCCTCAAATATATGAGGATATACTTTTCCTTGAGAGAAACTTTCCCAAGCTCTTCCTCGTAGCCTTCAAACCTTCTAAAGCTTCCAACCTTCTAAAGCTTCCAACCTGTACTTATATAGTATATAATAAGTATGGGGTTAGTACAAAACAATGTACTAAGTATGGCATATGCAAAATCATGTAAAAAGGGACATTTTAGTAAAAATAGTTTTTCATGCAATTTAAGTAAAACATTTATGAATACAAAGGCAAAACATCATATAACCAATATTTACAACTTAGGTAAGAATTCCCATGATTTTAAGCCAACAAGAAACATTACAATAAACTAACTTGACCTTCATAGTGAACTCCTTAAGAATTTACAGTAAATACATTTAAACATTGACAATGAATCATTTAAAGCATTCACAATAAATTCAACTTGAGCAATTACAATGAACTATCCTTCACTAAATGAGTGAACTTCCAAGGCCAAGCTGAAGAGAAAGTGAACTCATTTTCCTTAAGAGTTTCCCTACCTCGAAATTATCCTAAGACTCAAAAAGGTAAGATATGAAGGAAGTATGCATATGCCTCTTCCAATACACACCAAAGAAACCGTCAAGACTACCCCTTTCGTCTTACTCAACTCAGGAGGAACAAGCCCCTCAATCAATGGCAAGACATTAAAAGACATCCAACAAACCACCAAAGTCTTCCTTTTAGGAATGCCTACTTAGTGCAATGAGTAGACATCGTCCCATACCACCACCTACCCTAAGTAGTACATTTTTTGGAAGGTTTGTCACCAAGTCTTCCCTTTCGAATGGTTCTACCTAGTGCAATGAGTAGATAGCGTCCCATACCACAACCTACCCTAAGTAGTACGTTCTTTTAGAAGACTTTGTTCAATCAATTCTTTGTGGGGGACTTGCTTAACCGACATAGACCATGAGATCTAGACATGGAATCCCGATATTAACCCCTATCGGATAAGGGATCCTTACTTGCCTTGAGTAAGGTAATGTTTCATATCTTTTACATGGTTTTCCCAAAAGCTACACCTATATGGACACACAGTTAAGGGATAAGGAGATCGCTACTAAGTAACTCATTCTCTACTAACGAGGAGTACTCACGAAGTGTAATCCACCTCTCCTTCATATCCTCTCGGTGCTAGGCATAACTCCACATAGATTTCTTAACATAATAGTCTATCATAGAAAGATCACTAGGAATGGAGAGGTTGCTACTAGACACCACATCTCAACTCACAAAGTGTGTCCCCCTAAAGATTCCCCTTTTTACTCAACTTGGTATAGTATATTATTTAAAGTGTGTGTGTACATGTGCACACCTTGCATATAAGAGTCATTTAATTTTCATCAAGTTATACACATAATTTAATATTGGTTCATCAAGTTACACACCCTACATGCTTCTCAAAATCATATACTTCATTTAGACTTAAACTAGGTCAAGGATGCAATTCAAGCTACACCAAAACACAATACACGACCCATTTCCAATATCTATTCATTTCACATGTTAAACCTTCATGACTACATATTCAAACATACTAAATAACATCAAATTCCTCAATTAGCACCGCCATCCATAAGATGGACCATACTACTCAATATCCATTCATAATAAGAAATATATAATGAAAGCAACTCAACATCAATTCAAACCATAATAAATCATAATAAATTTATCAATATTTCACAATATTAAGTCCCTTAGGGAAGTATCTACACAAACAAGACAAATTCAAGAAGACCCAAGTTCATACTCTACTCAAATCATACTTACATAACTCATTTTCAAGCCAAAAGTTGAAGTATACATAAAAAAGAGTTTCATTAGAGTTTTAACATCAAAATCATCAACTAAACCAAAACTAAATATAATTAAACCATTAAAACTTAAATACAAAAAGACTCCTAGTAGAAATCAAAGTTAGAAGGAGTTTGAGTTTACAAAACCCTTTTTGGAAGTTGGCTTCTTGAATGAAAAGATATTCAAGAATGGATACCATACCTGACTTAAGGAAGAAAAATACAAGAGTTTTTGATGAATATACACTTCCAACCAGCCCTCCTATCTTTTCTTGACTTCTAGCTTTCAATGGAGTCTTGAGAGAGTTTGTCTTCTGAGAGAGAGTTTGAATATTTTAAAGAGAGGGGTCTTGTCTAGGTCTAGGGTTTTAAAAATATTTTAATATAACCTAAAAACATGAAAATTATCAACCCAGGGTCTTAACAGACTTGGGGTGCATTTACATAAAACACCCTAAGTTTGCAGCAACTTCACTGATTGTAGGCCTCACCGGCGGACCTTCACCAACGGACCGTCGTTGAGACAATGGACCATTGGTAGGGTCACGTTGGTGGATAGTTAGCTCCAAATGGATCATGGACAAATTGAATTCACTGGTCCAATCAGCGCCCTAGGTTTATGGACCGTTGAGGGACCAATGGACCGTCGTTAGGGTCGTCGATGGCCACTGCTTTTTGGTAGATTTTGCCCAAGTTTTGGACCCTTCATCTAGGGCCTCTTGTGGATCCTCGGTGGGGTCGTTCCCAGATGTTAAATCCCTAAACTAAGCCGTGTAGGTATTAGGAACACCCAATGCAATTTTCAAGTAAAACAAACACGTAAAACTCATCTAATCACAATAAGACACACTAGGACATTCTAAGGCATACTTTTCGAATGTCATGGACGTTCTTGGTCGATTGAACTCCAAACTTAACAAAATTTCACACACTGCCTAAGGACACTAAACTAACTTAGTTTAAATTATAATCATTTCAATAAACAACCACGAGGCTCTAATTCACCTTAGTTCATTTTGGGGCGTTACATTCTCCCCCACTTAGAATAGTATTCGTCCTGGAATGACACTTAAACTTTAAGAATAAAAAGGACTCACTTATCATCACATAAAGAAATTCAATAATGATCAAAACAATCAAAAATCAAATCATCAACTAACAATGAGCATCCTTTCACACTTTCAAACACTTAGAAACATAAACTCTTTTATCAAAACTTCAAGAAGTCAAAATTCACCCTTAGTCTTCTTTTATGGAGGAAGAACGTTCCCCAATATTAAATATGCTCATACATAATACTTTTACACACATTGGAACTTAAATTCAAGACAACACAATTTTTCTCAAAAATCCAAATTCTCACAGTGAAGTTCACTGCCAAGTTACCAATTTTTTTTGAAAATTCATTCTTTAAGTAATTCATCAAGATGACATGATAATATGAATTATAAAACCATATAATCTCACTTTATAACACAAAGGTAACAATTACAAAGAGTTAAGACTTACCAAAACCATTAATCTAGATTAATTATCCTTCCTAGCACCCATCCCATATGAAGTGTTCTTCTTGGGAGCATTAGGATCTAGGGAAGCTTTATTGACATCTTTCCCACTTGATTTGAGGTTTTGGCAGTCCCTCCTCTTGTGGCCCTTATGACCACATGCAAAACAACCATCCGTTCCAGCAAGACACTTACCTCCATGCTGCTTTCCACAAGTAGGGCACCTAGCCCTTCCATAGGAATGACCACCAACTTGATAATGTTGATTTGGAGCCCTATACATGTTTCCCATGGAAGAATCTTGGGGATAAAACCTCTTTTCAGGCGTTTGGTGGCTAGAATCATCCGACCTAGGCCTTTTACCCTCTTGCGTTATCTCCCTAATTTTGGACTCCTCAATTTGTTGCGCATGAACCATGAGCCTAGAGATATCCATATCATTAAGAAGCATTGCCGTATGACACTCTTTTTCCATCAAGCTAGGCACTCCCATCACAAACTTGTTCATCCTAGACCTAGGGTTGGCTACCATGGTTGCGGCATACTTGGAGAGTTGGGTGAATTTGAGAGAGTACTGTTGAACACTCATTCAAACTTGATGAAGTCTCATGAATTCAACCATCTTATTGTCCCTCCACTCTAAGGGAAAGTACCTATATAGGGGAAAAAACCTATCTAGAAAAGCCTCTTTGAATTATTACCAATCAACTGGCCCTCTTTTAAGGGGTCGCTCACTCCTCCCTTGCTCAAACCACACTTGAACCACCTCCATAATTTAGTAAGAGGCTAACTCCACTTTCTCCCTAGTGGTCACACCCATAGAATCTACCACTTTAAAAACCTCATCTATGAAACCTTGTGGATCTTCATCCACCTTAGTGCCATCAAAATTAGGAGGGTTCATCCTCATGAAATCCCAAATCCTAGAGGCGGGAGTACTAGCATTTGGTTGGGGCCTATCTCCTTGGTTAGCTTATCCCACAAGGTGATTGTAGACAACATGAGTTTGAGCCTTCATGAGTTTGGTCAATTTCATTAGGGCAGCCCGTAACTCCGCATAAGTCATATCACCCTCAACAGAAGGAGCTTGAGGCATAGGAGGCACTTGAGGTTCTTGGGGTTCTAGAGGCACTTGAGGTTTTGGAAGGGGAATTCCCACATTCTGTTCCTCCTCTAGGTGAACAATAGGAACTTGGTCATGGTTGAGGGATCCTCTCATTAGCTACACCACTCTCCTCCCTTCTAGCAATCGATCTCCTCGTATTTATTCTCTATAAACATAAAGAGAAGAGATTAAGAGAAGACACCTTATACGATTCAACTCTGAGGCACAACATTACAATAGAGAATAAAGTGAAACTTCTATCTACCTATAGCCTCTTGTCCATGGATGTGTGGAGACTAACATCGACGACCAAGATACTACGAGATGTGGCTTGTGAGACATTTAGAACCTAAACTATTTCCCATAACCCTATGCTCTGATACAAAATTTGTCACGACCTGAAAGCACCCCCTAGAAGTTAGGGAGAACCCTCGTTTCGTGACCGGGCGTACTTGACCCTTTGGGGGTCTTGTACAAGCCCATTACTATCGTTCATCACATCAGACAAGTAAATTAGTGCAGAAATTTAAAAATTTTCACGAATAATTAATAAAAGACAATCTTTCATAAATATTTAGAAAATATCGTCGTCACAAGCCAACTTATAGACACAACATAATAGACATAATATCTTAGGGACATGGCCCTCTACGATAAAGTAAAATACATAACAATGCCTTCAAATAAAAACTAAGAAAAGGACTATGCCCTCAAATATATGAGGACATACTTTGCTTTGAGAGAAACTTTCGCAAGCTCTTCCACCTAGCCTTCAAACCTTCAAAAGCTTCCAACCTATACTTATATAGTATAGAAAAGTATGGGGTTAAAACAAAACAATGTACTAAGTATGGCATATAAAAAAATATGTAAAAAGGGTCATTTTAGTAAAAATATCTTTTCATGCAATTTAAGAAAAACATTCATGAATACAAAGTCAAAACATCATACTAATCATCATTTACAACTTAGGTAAGAGTTCCCATAATTTGAAGCCAACAAGAAACATTACAGTAAACCAACTTGACCTTCATAGTGAACTCCTTAAGAATTTACAGTAAATACAATTGAACATTGACAATAAATCATTTAAAGAAATAAATTCAACTTGAGCAATTATAATGAACTATCCTCCACTAAATGAGTGAACTTCCAAGTCCAAGCGAAAGCGAAAGTCAACTTATTTTCCTTAAGAGTTTCCTTACCTTGGAATTATCTTAAGACTCACAAAGGTAACATATGAAGGAAGTATGAATATGCCTCCTCCAATACACACCAAACCAACCGTCAAGACTACCTCTTTCGGCTTACTCAAGTCGAGAGGAACAAGCCCCTCAATCAATGTCAAGACATTAAAAGACACCCAACAAACCACCAAAGTCTTCCCTTTCTAGATGCCTACTTAGTGCAATAAGTAGATAACATCCCATACAACCACCTACCTTAAGTAGTACATTTTTTAGAAGGTTTGGCACCAAGTCTTCCCTTACAGAAGGTCCTACCTAGTGCAATGAGTAGATAGCGTCCCAAACCACCACCTACCCTAAGTAGTACGTTCTTTTAGAAGACTTAGATCAATCAATTCTTTGTGGGGGGATTTGCTTAACCGACATAGACCATGAGAGCTAGGCATGGAATCCCGATATTAACCCCTATCGGATAAGGGATCCTTGCTTGCCTCGAGTAAGGTCATGCTTCTTAGATTTTACATGGATTTTCCAATAGCTACACCTATGTGGAGACATAGTTAAGGGATAAGTAGATTTCTACTAAGTAACTCATTCTCTACTAACGAGGAGTACTCATCTCAAGAGCTACTTTTGAAATACAACATCTCAAATCACGAAGTGTAATCCACCTCTTCTTCATATCTCCTTGGTGCTAGGAATAACTCCACCCAGATTTCTTAACATAATAGTCTATCATAAAAAGCTTACTAGGAATGTAGAGGTGGCTACTAGACACCACATCTCAACTCACAAAGTGTGTCCACCTCAAGATTTCTTTTTTACTCAACTTGGTATAATAGATTCTTTAAAGTGTGTGTGTGTACAGGTGCACACCTTGCATATAAGATTCATTACATTTTCATGAAGTTCTACACATACTTTAACCTTGGCTACAGGCTTCTCATAATCATATACTTCATTTAGACTTAAACTAGGTCAAGGATGCAATTCAAGCTACACCAAAACACAATACACAACCCATTTCCAATATCTCTTTATTTCACATGTTAAACCTTCAAGACTACATATTCAAACATACTAAATAACATCAAGTTCCTCAATTAGCACCGCCATCCATAAGATGGACCATACTACTCAATATCAATTCATAATAAGAACTATATAATGAAAGAAAATAAAAATCAATTCAAACCATAATAACTCATACGAAATTTATCAATATTTCACAATATTAAGTCCCTTAGGGAAGTATCTACACCAACAAGACAATTTCAAGAAGACCCAAGTTCATACTCTACTCAAATCATACTTACATAACCAATTTTCAAGCCAAAAGTTGAAGTATACATAAAAAAGAGTTTCATTAGAGTTTTAACATCAAAATCATCAACTCAACCCAAAGTAAGTACAATTAAACCAGTAAAACTTAAATACAAAAAAAGCCCTAGTAGAAATCAAAGTTATAAGGAGTTTGAGTTTACAAAACCCTTTTTGGAAGTTGGCTTCTTGAATGAAAATATATTCAAGAATGGATACCATAACTGAATTAAGGAAGAAAAATACAAGAGTTTCTGATGAATATACACTTCCAACCAGCCCTCCTATCCTTCCTTGACTTCTAGCTTTCAATGGAGTCTTGAGAGAGTTTGTCTTTAGAGAGAGAGTTTGAATATTTTTAAGAGAGGGGTCTTGTATAGGTCTAGGGTTTTAAAAATATTTTAATATAACCTAAAAACATGAAAATAATCAAACTACGGTCTTAAAAGACTTGGGGTGTATTTACATAAAACACCCTAAGTTTGCAGCAACTCCACTGATTGTAGGCCTCACCGACGGACCTTCACCAACAGACTGTCGTTGAGCCAACGGACCATTAGTAGGGTCTCATTGGTGGATACATAGCTCCAAATGGAGCATGGAAAAATTGAACTCACTGGTACAATCGACGCCCTAGGTTGACGGACCGTTGAGGGACCAACGAACCATCTTTAGGGTCGTCGATGGCCATTACTTTTTGGCAGATTTTGCCCATCTTGGGTCCTTCATCTAGTGCCCCTTGTGGGTCCTAGGCGGGGTTGTGACCGAATGTTGAACCCCTAATCTAAGTTGTCTAGGTCTTAGGAACATCCAATGAATGTTTCAAGTAAAATGAACATGTAAAACTCATCTAAACATAACAAGACATAGTAGCACATTCTAAGGCATACCTTCCGAACGTCATGGACGTTCTTGGTCGATTGACCTCCAAACTTAACCAAAGTTCACACACTGACTAAGGACACTAAACTAACTTAGTTTAACTTAAAATCATAACAAGAAACAACCACGAGTCTCTAGTTCACCTTAGTTTGTTTGGGGGCGTTACATAAGTAGACCATACTAAACATCATTACTATTTAAGAACTATACTACATAATATAGAGAAATTTAACTCAACATACCATTGATCCAATACTCACAACTTCACTCTATAGTCAACTGAACCAACACTATACTTAAGGGATCTTACTAATGGCAATAATCACCAATTCAATCCAATTATTACAATATACAATGAATCAAAGAAAATTCAACACAAATTTATGAAATTAGGGAAGCCAACTAAAAATTCTATCATGATTCATTCATAATTCAATATCCCTAATCAAACTACATAATTCAATAGCTTTAAAGCATAATCAAATCACCCATAAAGTAGCCAAATTTAGGGTTGAATTACATTTTTCATAGAGATTTTAGGTTAAAATCATCAAATTAACTATTATTCAATCAATATATAATCATTCAAAACATTTATGCAAGAATCCATGGATAGATTACGAAATTGGACAAGTTCATTTGAAGTTTGGATCCTTGAAGAAAATAGATTCAAGGATGAATGTAATACCTTAATTGTGATTTAAATCCCATAAAATTTATGGAGAAAACTTGAGAAAGTCAGTCTTCTTCCTTGGAGCTCCCAAGCTTCAACAATGGAGGTTTTGGAGAGAAGAATGGAGAGGTTTTGTTTTTCAGTTGAGCATTTTATCTTTGATTGGTGAGTTTAGTAGTATAATAAGACTCAATAACCGTCAAAAAGTCATCCCCAAATGACCCAAAATATCTCTGCAATCATTTGACAATTTAACCAATTCAAATTTGACTTAAAAATAACACGGCCAAATCTGGGAGTTTTCTGCGCGTCGCGGAGGTATTTAAAATCTAATTTATGGAAAATTTAGGGACACAATGGTTCAT